ACAAAAGAGATTCAAGAGTTGTTTGAACTTCTGATCGTAAAAAATGTTTTTAAGCATTTGCACATTTAATTAGTGTCATTATGAAATATCTTATCTGAATAAATTCCGAAGAAAAACCGAACAGTGTTGCTAATGAGTCATCGAATATCATTATTAATATTATACTATATTACTAGTAGGAAAAAACGTAGAAAAAAATATAATAGTTATTTTTAATTTTCATCACAGAGAATTTGAATGGAAACAAGTTGGAATCATCGAATTTTGGAATCGTTTAATTTCGAAAATTCGATTTAATAAAGAAATAACGAGATAAAAAATCTCTCTAAATAATGGAATAAGAATTGATAAATAAACATTGTAAGTAAAATTGTGAAATTACATTGAAAAAACGAAAATCTTGATTGAACGATATTTGAACAGATAAACGTGGTTTTCTGAACTCGTGAACGGGAGTAAATTAATTACACACGATATATAGATATCTGTATGAGTAATCGAAAATTCGTTTGCTCGAGGGATTTACGTAAAGCCAGTTACGCGAAAATTATTCTGTTATTATTTCTTTCCTCGAATAATTTTTCAAACAAGTCCATTTATTCAAACTTATTGCCACTAAAATATGTATCGTTTTATTATTAGGACAATTGTGTTATAATGTTTATTTTAATTTATTTTAAGTCACTTTAACTTATTTAAAAAAACACGAACAATAATTTGTGTATAATTGCACGATACGAAGGTGTCGTTGTCCTCAACATCAATGCATTATTAGATTTTTCGCTATATGTACGAACTAATTCATTAAACATTCATTGTTTATATTTCGATGTTAGATTAAAAAAAAATCAACGGAAACGTTAATACAAGTTAAGTGGATTTTTTAAACAAAAATTAAAAAATCGTTGACATCGCGTTGAAACTTTTTTGGAAATTTTCGTATCTCATAAAAGGAAGAATTAATATATGTTCAAATTATTCACAAATTCTTGTTCTTATCTTTCAAATAATCTAATCTTCTTTTCTTTTATTTCTATATTAGTATAATATTCAAACAAGTAAGTACAATTTTCCATAAAATTTTCCATAATTTTAATTTCAAAATTTGAAATTTACGAATTTATAATAAAAACGAATTCTCCTTAACTTTGTTTAATTTCCAGAAAAGCGGAAAGTTACTGCAGAATTTTCAATTCTTCTTCAATAGATTTAGTTTTTTTTTTTTTTTGCATTGTTCACTTCCGCATAATTGTACCTGTATACAGATGCAGCAATTTAGTAGGAAAAACTTAAACTGACTACAAAAAGTATTTCCATTGTATTCGTTACATCATTTGCTATCTAAAACAATTAAATCCAAGAATATCGTAACACCAAGTTTATCTTGTACGTAACTACGAAAATTTGAAATATTTTTTGAATTTGTGGAACATTTGGTGAAAAAAAGATTCCTCCGAAAAATAAA